AAACCTAACGTGAAACTTAAAATTAGCACCAAAAATATAATTATACTTATATTTTCAAGTATTAAACTTAATAAATTTATTTGCGTAATATACATTAAAGTGTACTCAATAACCACTTGATTAAAATAATTTTAAATAATTTAAAAAAATTGTATAAATATAAAATTACTACTATAATAAATAAAAGTAATAATAATTTACATAACATAAAATAGATTTGTTTTTACCTTTGAATTCCTACGTGAATATCTAACAGGCCCTGATTTACTTCGGTCCAAATTGTTATAAATCCGAACTTAACTCAGGGTGTTTAATCAGTAGTGGGAGAGCAATTAAGAATCCAAGTTTGTTAAATCTTTCTTTATTAAAATAAAAGATTAATTCTAATAATAATGATGTTTAATTACTTACCCTTGAGTACCTAAAATATATAATAATAATTCTAATTTATCAAATTGTATATTTACCTTTTCTTTATTAACTCTTTCCTTTTTTATTAATTTTATTTTCAAAATATTTTCAATCAATAAAATAATAAAATAATTTTCGAAGAATCCAAATTATCCAAAACTGAACTTCGAAGAATTAAAAATATATATATATATATAAAAAATTAAACAATTTTCGAAGAATCAACTATATAAAAATTAAAATCTCATTATTCAAATATGTAAATCTTAAATCTAGTACAAATATTACCAATTGTCGAAGAATAAACATATAAATATTAAACTATTATTATTCAAATATAAAAATCTTAAATTTCGTACAATGTTAAATATACATAATAACAAAATTATAAAAATGTTAAATTTCGTACCATCTTAAATTTACATAATACTACAGTCAGATAATTCTTATTTATTTAGAATTTTTTATGATCAATTCGAAACACCGGGATAGGTTCTAAATCGATAAAACAAAAATCGCTAAAAATTGGGAACCTGGCTTATATCTCCTAGAAAATTTTTGTAAATTTGAAATTAATATTAATAGATACTAGGGGACTAAACACTTGTATTTAAATTTAAATACAAGTATTTAATCCCCTAGTATCTAAATATTAATTTCAAATTTACTTTAAAAATTTTCTAGGCGATATAAGCCATGTTCCCAATTTTTAGCGATTTAGAACGGGAACCAAAATAATTGCCTAAAATACTCGTAACAATTGAAATAACTTCATTTCGGTTATTGGGTTTAGGAGAATTTGATCTATATTGATTTTTAATTACTCCGAAAAATTTTTCTATCGGATTTAATTGCGGCGAATAGGGTGGTAAAAATATGATATTTGGATAATTCTCACTAATTACCCTCGCTCGATGTATAGGAGCATTATCCATTATAAGTAATGAATTTGATGGTAAAAGTGCGAATAATTCATCCAGGTATACCTTGAATTTTATCGCAGTAAAAGCCCCATCTATTATTGTGAATTTTTTCAATCCACTTATTCCTATTGTGCATAGGTTACCAGAAGTTTTTAAAAATATAATGTTTTTCTCAAAATTTTCTTTCAAGTTTTTAAAAGTTTTTTTAAAAAAGGATGTATTTTTCTCAACAAGTTTTTACAATAATTACGGAAAGTTAAATTGAAGTGTAGGGGCTTCCGTTATGGGTAGAATGGTTGGTGGCACATCACGATGATTTTTGGTATGCGTCATTTTAGGTTAATAAAAGCAACTATAACAATTAAATTTTAAATTTTATTTAATTTTAAAACCAAAAAAAAATATTAAAAAAATAGGAATTATCTGAAAACCCTAAATTTGAATTTTCTTTCACTTATGTTTATTAAGAAATTATCAAATATCCTATCCTGATTTCCATTCTTTAGATAACTAAAAGTAACATTAATATATTGTAATAATACTTTAAATTTAAAAAAAATTTACAATGCATTTAAAAAAAAAATTGTTCTAAAAATCTTAGAAATTTTTTATTTTCATTTTCTCACTTAAACTTGGGTCCAAAACATAAAAAAATTATATTCGATTCATAACTTTGACGTTAATCTTCATTAATAAAAACTCTTATTATTAAAAAAATTATATCAAAAATTTTTAAAAATTTTAGCAAAATGTTTTTACAATAATTATGGAAAGTTATTTAACTATATAAGAATGTTTTTTCACATTGTGAAAATGTGTTACAACAAATCATATTATTACTGTATAACAGGTAAAGATATTATAACAATTGATAAACAAATTTTGTTGCCATGACTACAGAATTTGTCAGTTTAAGCCAGAACTAGTTAATGATTTTGAAGCTAGCATACATCTTAGTGAAACAGCAAGGCCGAAATCACACCCAGAACGTAGGGTTCCTTTTCCATTACGAAAACCAATTGAAATGGAACTTAATAAATTGATGAAATCGGGAATTTTGAAGGTGATTGACTCAACAAAAACGTGTATGACGTGTGCTACTCTAAATGTAAACGTGCACAAAACAAATGGAGAAATAAGGATTTGTGTTGATTTTAAGGTCACATTAAACCCATATGTCTTATATGATTACCATATAATACCAACTGTGGGTGATCTATTGACCAAATTATAAGGGGGTTTGAAATTTAATATCATAGATTTAAAAGATGCTTATTTGCAGCTAACAATAAAAGAGAGCTCAAAGGAATACCTAACTATATAAACCCATATTGAATATTTTCGATATCAATATAAACCTTTTGGCCCTTATAGTGTGCCGATTATTTTCCCATGATATATGGATAATCTATTAAAAGACTGCAAGATGACAGGAGTATACCTGGATGCAGGGTTGGGCAAATTTTCAGAAAATTGTATTCGGATACAGATACTTTATAAAATTTTGTATTTAAGATACAAGATACTAGATACTTTAGAAAAATTTCAATAAGATATAAGATACAAGATACTTGTATTTTTTTTAAAAAAAAGTATCTAAGATACAAGATACTTTTTTTAAAAACTTTAAATAGTCAAAATCAAAATGTATAAAGCTTTATTTTCTTATCTATAATATAAATTTATAAAAAAATATTTAAAATAAATTGTAGAAAATAACAAATTTATTATAAAAGATAATGCGATATTCCATTTAATAATTATATAATTAGTAAATAATAATAAATCAGCATCATAAATCACCATTATTTTTTAAAATTATTAATTTAAATGATTTATCGTTCAATCTTTGACGATTTGGTCTATTAACCATATTATCAAAGCTAAATAACCTTTCAACGGGGGCTGAGGAGGGTAATATTGTGTTATATTTAATAAATATTTCTTTTATATATTTATAACTATTTAACATATTTATACTCCGCCTGTCATCTTTCATATAATTTAGGACCTCTATTTCAATATCATTTATTGAATTATTAGAATTGGATGTGGTACTTTTAAAGCAAAATTAATCATCTTCATCAATTGAAGATTTTGTTGAAGTATTAATTTTAATATTATTTTTAAAAACAATTAAAACTTCATGTAATAACAAATCCTGAAGGTATTTTTTTCTTTTTCACCATCAATCCAACGATTTTTAAAATAGGGATGAGAAATAGTTGCCAAAAATGCACTTTTAAAATTGTTATCAAAATCATATATATTTTTAAATCTTTTATTTAAATAATTTTCTATGGCGATAGCTAATGGTTTGCAAAATTGTAGATTAGTTTGAATAAAATTTGTAATTTTTTTTTAACGACATTTAAAATTGGAGCTGATTCTCCATAATAGCAGTTGATTTCACTCTGTATTTTGTCAATCGCTATAGCCAATGGGGCCATTATATTGCAATATTCTTATAAATATTGAATTTCAATATCTCTTAATTTAGGAAATTCTAATTTTTGACATAATTTAGGAATCGCCTTTAAATTTTAATAAACTATGAAGACTATCATACAAACTATTTCATCTAGTGCAACAAGGTGTAACTAATTGTTTTCCGAAAACTGCTTTGATAAGTTCTGCAGTTTTAGGCCTATTATTTGCATTCCATAGCTTAGTACATTTAGCTATTGCAGGATGATGAATTTTAGAAATGTTAGGAGAATACTTAATAGCTCTCTCGACATCTGTTGTGGCAATTAGACTTATCGTATGGCACAAACACGAATGTGTTGAGGCAGGCAATGTTATTGAGGCTTCTTTAGACCCTTAAATTAACAAATAAATAATTTTATTTGAATAAAATTTTTTACTAAATTTACAATATCATAATAAATTTTAAAGAAGTATTAAATAATACTTTCAATGATTTCGAATTCTATACATTCATTATCATTGATGTCAAAGTAGCTTCCATAGAATATCCAAACTCCTTGAAAGCTTTCTTAAAGTTAGAGCCATTATCGTAACAGTTGCTATAACTTTTTCGTCAATACCAAAGTCACGATGAATTTCTTTATTATGGTCATCTTGAAGTACTTCAAAAAATTTGCCATTAAGTATGATTAGTTTAAATTTATTGTTATAATTTTCAGTTGAAGAATCATCTGAAGACGAAGATAAACATATTATTCTATTTTCTTCTTCCATAATTTTAAAATAGACAGATATAAAACGATTCAAATATGGTAGTTCTAATTGTTAGCAAATTGCTATATGATGACCAACGTCATATATTAAAAATTATCTTAAAATATCTAAATTTTGATTAAATTTTTTATTTAAATCTTAAAACAATATCATTTTGAATTTTAGTACTATTTAAATTAACCAATATAAATTTTTTTTAAAGTATCTGTATCTTTTTGAATACAAAATTGATTAAGATACAAATACCTTTAAATAATATGTATCTTAGATACTGGATACAAGATACTTTCCAAAATTTTAAAGATACAAATATCTGCGATACTGCCCAGCCCTGCCTGGATGTATAACATTAGAACAATGTAAATAGAGTACTAATGAAATTAAAACATCGCATAAGAATGAAAACGTTTTATGAAATCTTCCTTCTTTTCAATTTTTTTTTCTTCTATATTTACGTTAAAATAAAATGCCGATGGAATTGTTTATTCAAAGATTTTTTCACGCATTTTTGAAATACAATATAAATTTTTGAGATGATTTTATAAAAATAAAAAATTTAAGGGGGGGGGGGGTATCAAAAAAGTTTTACAAAAATGCATAATTTAATCAAATGAAATTTTTCATGGAACAAAAAATAATTTCTTAATCAACCTAAGATTAATTACAAAAACAGATTTTGCAGACCTCTAGGTTAAAAAGAGGTATTTTTATTACATATTAATACAAAAATCCAATAAAGAATATGTAGTAAATAAAAATTATAATTGCCAATCATATATTTATGATTTAAATATGGATTTAAGATCATCTTTAGATAGTCTTTGTATACCATTTGAATATTTACCAATTTGGCCATCATCTTTGTTCTTAGACACAATTTTCTTGTTAATCCTTTGTTTAAAAAATAATACCATATAATATTCTATATTAATACCTCTTGTTTTTCTTTTTATTTAATGTGATTTTAATAAAACTATCTAAAAATTCAGTGTTTTTGTTATCTTCCACTAATTGTAGCTTTTTACATTTCAATTCTTTGTAATTTATATATTCATTTTTTGGAGCCTAAATAAATATTTCAAAATGGATTAAACAGAAATATTATACTTTGGCACCAAGTTTAATAAGCATATTCTGAGTAGCTTTACGTTTGGCATCTCCTTTCATATTTTTTATATTAAAACTCCTAATTTCATGGTATAATTCATTAAGACTATGCCTATTGATTAAATTTTTAAATTGATCTGGTATATAATCATGTGTTTGAGGTTTTAGGCTGTGAGTCTTATTAAGATATTCTGAAAATATGGGTTCCTCTAAGGTATCTTCAAAATGTATAATTTCAGCTTCTCTATGCGGTTTAATAGGAGGAGCGAATTTAGGATTACATATTTTAATTTTGGATCTCATAAAAAATACTGAAGTCTTGTTAGAAATCCATGCCTATGACTTGACGTCTAAAATGTGACAGGCAATGCGAGAACACCTAATAGGAGAATTAGATAATCAGTGATTAATTGTTTAAAAATTTAGTGGGAGGTGGAGGGCTATAATTATTTATAAATATTATTAAAATATGATATATATTCGACATTTATATGGCCATTATTTATTTACAATCATACCTGTCTAAGGACACCTGTGGACAATGAACTTTCCCATTAGATAGTTGCCCTATCCATCAAGACTTTTTAGTTTTTTAAAGAAAACATTTTACCATCTTATATTTATAGCCTAACAAAAACCATTTTCAAATAATATATTTTTTTTTAATTAATCAAAAATGCGAGTTATACAAAATAAGAATGTAAACATATATAAATTATTATAATATGGTTGTATACAATAAAAATGACATTTAATTATGTCTTATTTGGATTTGTGAATATCTAAAACAGTTCCTTTAGAAATATTAAATCTTCTATCACATGCTCTTTAGATGATAATTTATTTTAATTAACGTTAACTCTTTATATTAATTTTATTTATTAATTTTGTTTTTTGACATAAATAGTGTTGTTAAAAAGCATGATTGGATCGATTTTAAATAACAAAATAACTATATGCAAGTCTAAAAATTTTGCTCATAGCGGGCAGAACTGCTTGGACATCTATTGACAAATCTCGATGCTAACATAACTTAATTTTAGTTAAAATTTTAATCAGTTCGTTTTGAAAAATCGACCCAAATTAGGCTTTTTAACAACACTAGAATATGTTTTAGATTAATATAAATAAATGAATACAACAAAAAATAACAAATACCCACTTTTTAAAGTAGACAGTTCTTAAATTTATTAAGGCATTTTTTTAATAGTAGTTTATATGAATTAGATTGCAATTTATAATTTTATAAATTAAGGGCTTGAAATACCAGGAACCAAAAATAAACAGGTTTGACCACCAGAATTTTCTTATGAGAAAGGGGGGGGGGATAAATTTTTTTGGAAACGAAGCCCCCAAACCCCTCTTAGCTGGTCCGTTGGCCATGTTTGAGTATTATCAATAAAATTATAAGCCTACCATCCAGGTTTATATAGAGCACACATTAATACATTATTTCTATTCCAGAGATATTTGTTGTCTCATCAGCCAAGATTGAAAAGTAGGGTGATTTGTTGTTATTTGTAATAATTTTCTACATTACTAATTCATTTCAGGCATTGATGATTTCATTCTGTACTATTGGGCTCAAATAGGTGGCATTTTTAGAAGAATTTAATAAATTATCTTTGAGTATAAGATCTCTAAAAGATCTATTTCGAAGAATAGCTCTAAGGTTTTCATCAATACTGTTATTATCATTATCAAGAAGGGCGATACCTTGGATTCCATACATCAGGATAGCGTCAATTATTGGCATTACTCTGTATTATATTCTTCAAGGCAAGTCCTTGTTTTCTCTATATAAGTTTTTCGAGTAATATCCATAGATTCTCCACCTATTACAGATCTCAAGGAATATATCTTGTTGTGAATCAATATGATACATATTATTTTGATGGTTGTTGAAAATTTCAGTAGCGTCTTTTCATTTAGTAAATGGTGTTATTACTATGGTTTTTAATTTTTGTTGGACTCAACCAGTTGGACCAAATAACGCAATTCTTGCACAATGCACCATTAATGGTAATAGAAAATGCTGGTCAACTTGAGCCAACCATATAGAAACCTTAGTTTTTTTGTTGTAGTTTAATAAATGGGAAAGTTATGTCTGGTGATCATGTAATGTATATTTTCCAAAATTTTTAATTTTTTCAGTAGTTTTATCATTCTTTAAGAAATTATATATATCCCATTGATGAAACCACAATATAATAATTTGTATAAATTTATTCTTCATTCTCATAAGAATAATTTGGCAAATCTAATCTCATAAATGTATAAAATACTATGGATAAAACATTATTAAAATTATATTTTTAAATGGTTGTTTTATCAATAAAAATATTGTAAAAATCTGAAAAAAAATTTGTACTAATATTAAATATATTATATTTTTAAAAAAAGGTCATAACATAGAGGAGATGTGGCATAAATGGTGTTTGAAGACTGACCACCTCTCTTTAACTTTTTGTCTACTGAACTAATATCTTCAAATTGATCAAAATGTTTATATTTATGATATTTACCTTAACTAATTTTTACGTGATACGTGATAAAAGCGTTTTCGCCCTCTGGTTGTGGATACAACAGAGCTACGCTAGGTTTTCCTCAAAAATCCATCAAACTGGATAGTTAATTAAGGGGAGAAAATGAGGAGCTCTTCACACGTATGTGGGCAAGCCGGGAGTACTTGTACGCGCAACAGTCCGAGAACTGTTGTTTAAATGTATATAGGCTAAAAAGAATTGGGCAAAACAAAAGCCTATATCCAAGAACTGCAAAAATAATTTAATTACTTTAAGGGTGGGTGGTGGCTAATTTTAAGTTTAACATCTTAAGCCGTAATAATTACTATCAATAATTGAGAATGTGTTCATATCAATTGAAAATCGAATTTATTCATGAAAATAAGAAAAAACTAATGGGTTTACCGCAAATAGTTTAAATAGGTGAATTCCAGTGAATAGGCAAAAACTAGTCAGTAATAGGTTTATGACAATCCAGCAACGAACACCTCACAACGAAGGTTTTTTTCCCCAGAAAAACAAAATACTCTACAAAGTGATAGATAGATTATATAGCGAAAAAGGTCTTTGATATTGATAAAGATATGAGAGAAATGAACTATGACGCAGAAATAGGAACCAGCTCCGTAAGTTTTAGGAAATAGAAAAGTGATTGTTGATCAGGATTAACAAAAGGCATTATGGCTTGATTGTTATAATATAGTCTATCACTCACGGAAAAACTCTATCAACAAACATAATTACAAACCTCGCCCCCCCCCCTGTCGAATAATTTATCCATAAATGAAATAACAAGTGGTCAAAAACTAAGGAAAAACAAAGCTCAGGGGCTAGATAATATCACAGCAGAAAATCCAAAAAATTACACCTACAACAATATCTCGCTACCTATTTGCCCTCTTTCAATAAAATATGGGAGAGCGGAACTACTGCAGTGGGATTAGTGTTGTTAATTAAACGGCTCTTTTGAGCCGATTTTTAAAAACGGCTAACTCTATATTCTATCCTTAAAAATATTACGCAAGCCTGAAGATTTTGCTCATAGAAGGAACAGAGGTTTAGACATATATTACCGAAATCTTGAAGCTTAGGCATAATATTTCTGGCTAAAGCCGATTTTTTAAAACGGCTAACTCAATACTTCTAGAAAAATATTACGCAAGCCTGAAGATTTTGCTCATTGAAGGAACAAAGGTCCATACATATATTATCGAAATCTTAAGGCTTAGGCTAAATTTTTCTGGCTAAAATAATGAGTTAGCCGTTTTTAAAAATCGGCTCAAAACGAGCCGTTTAACAACATTAAGTGGGATGGAACAAATCCTACCTAAGTAACTACCCAAAAAAACTAAGACCCAGAAATTAAAGGGTTACTGAGCTATAACCATCACATCCTGTAGCATGGAAAAAACTTATTTTTTTTTGGTTCACTCAAAAAACCACAAGCATATCACCTACACCGAATCTTTTCCCCCAAAAAATACATAAGTCTATACAGGCCAAAAAAAAATATATACTGGAGCCAAAATTAGTTCAGAAAAATAATCATGCAGAAAAGTAAGTACAAACGCCCTTCTACTTCACATTTGTAAATTATAGCAGAGCTATTGATAAAGTTAACCATGCAGCTTCGTTGTCAGAAAAAGGGAAGACCCCAACATTTTCCAGATCCAGAAAACTACTAATACATGTTTGGATACTTCGAAATCAATGACGAAGAATATCCCCTACCTCCAAGGTAAAAAAGGGTAAATCAAGGCTAAACTCTTGCCACTCCTAAATAATAACATAAAAGTAAAAACAAAAGAGAAACACTGGGAACGACCGATGTATTATATGTAGACTCAATTAAGATGTAATGTTTTGAAAAAGAAAAAAGTTAAAGACTTTAAATCTAGTTAACTATCAATAATAAAGAAAAATAATAAAATGAATAAAAAAACAGTTTTCCTCCTTATTTTTCCCAAGAAAACATGTAACCACTTCAAAAACTTATAGTTAGAACGAGGTAAATGTAGTCGCAATGTACGTAGGGAACATACTTAATAATAAAAGTAGTTGCAAATAAGAAGAAAAATAAGAATACAAAGGCGAGTGGAAACTTTTAAACGTATATAAAAAGTATGGAAGATAAGAGAGAAATCGGTATTTTCTAGATTGAGGGCACATCCACAATTCATATATTAGTCTATGGAGGGGACGGACATGTTAGAGAGACCAAAAAAACTGGGGAAGAAAAAAAATAAAATAAATAGAAATAGAAATAGATGACAATAAACAAATGTCTCATAAACAAAAGAGGATATCTCTAAAAACATTTCGAACTCAAAAACTATGGAAAAATACAAAACATACCCAAAACTAACTATTAAAAAGAGCCGAAGATTAATTCTAGCCCACACAAGGAACACAAATCACAAACTATTTCCCAAATGCCATTAATATATCTTAACACATATAATGGGAAAAGTATAGAAGTACAACAACACCTAAGACATTGTATATGTAATGTATGTAATTAAAAATATGGGATGGACCGATTTAAATTAGTACATTAAGTCAATAAGATAAATAAAAGCTAATGTCAGTGAAGCAAGTGATTCACAGAAAAGGTGAAAGACAAAGTGAGGAAGTAAATTGAGAAATGAAGAGATTAAATAACATGAAATCCAGAAATTAAAAAATAAAAAAAAAAATTATGAGAGATTTAGGTAGTTCGATTTAATTTTTTGTAATTTCTTTATAGATTTTTTGTTTTTATTTAGCCTTAGGAACTCTTTCAAATTTAAGTTTAGATCCATTATGTCCTTCA